GAAAAGAGAGAAATTGTTTGCTTATTAGAGAGCAGAAAACCAAACAGTATCGTGAGCCTCAAACATCTCTGGCAAAGGACTTGCTCTGCTACATGACAGAGAAATGACAAGTGAAAAAGTTTTGAGTTACTCTTCATTCTTAGTTGAAACAATGCTTCCTTGTAGTCTGGGGTAGTGACAATGCATTAAATGACAGAAATGGCTGAGTTAAGAACTGCTAGAGAAAATGTGTCCATAACTCCCCATATTCTAATGTTATTTCTCAACTCTGGAAAAGGCCAGGTCCACTGAAACTTAGACAGTGCACATGATTTATAACTTATAGAATCAGTTATGTCTCAATACTGAAAATAATCTAAAAAAAAAAAAATCATGTTTCCTTTACATTATTAGTCTATTCAGGCCTTAATTTCTCATTAATATTAGATACTGTTTAAGCAAGCTGGATGATCTCTCCTGTATGAGAAGACAATAGTCCCTATGATGAAACAGGTATTGCCACCATCTTTTTGACATATATCTCTACTAGATGCTTCTGAACAGATCATAATGAGAAAACCACTACCACTCCAAAATACAGTGCTCTACAGATTTTCCAGTATATTTTGACACAAAAGTAGGCAATAAAATCACAAATGGTAACAAGCTTTCAAGCAAAAAAAAACAAAACCAAAACAAAAAAACCCCCAAACTCAAACCAAACACCAAAAAAACAAACCAAAAGCCAACTTTATAAGTCAAAGTAGCCATGCAGGACATGATGATAGGATTTCTTGCATTATATGCAAAGTCTAAAAATGTTACATGCAAACCTGTTTCTCCTTCAATTCTTTAAACTACTAAGCCTCTTCACCTCAGTCTTTCTCTGCAACAGAATTGCTGTTAGAATAAAAAATCTTGCAGTCATTTGAGGGGCCTTGCTGACTGACAATGTTTTTTTTTCTGAGGATGAGAGTTATGTTCTCTGGAATGACTGAATCTTAAGAAGCATGACAAAACTCCTTGTGAGTTTAAAACCTCGGTAAGTCCACGAACCAACCAAAATGAACTGTTGGAATATGTTTTCTATGTGCTGTATTTTTTTCACCCATGCAATACCATTTATTATATTATTTACTAAGCAACGTAATCATGCCCTTTGATGGAAAAACTCAATCCATGATGAAAGTCTATAATACAATTTGTAGGTGTTTTCCAAAGGGGGAAATAACACCACAGGTATTCTGACCTCTTCAGGTTACCTTGGTCATAGTGTTAGCAATGTATACGGAGATCCTCTTCAACCATGTTATGAAAAACTAAGAGAACTGGAATTTCATCTGGGTAGATTTATTTTTTTCATACTCTTACTAAATGAGCTGTAATCTGTCTTTACAGTGATTTAGGTATAGTAATACATAGTTTAACATTCCAAAGTTGAAGCATTTCAGGTTTTAAAAAACTAACTAGTTCAATCTCCTATCAGTTTTCACTGTAAAGCCTTGAAATCTTAATGCCAACTGAGCTAAATCCACATTATGAAAATTCACAGAGATTTAATTAGAAGTAGATTCAAGTCAGTGAAAAAAATGAGGAGGGATTTTGAAAGAAAGTCAAGCTATCTCAGTAGATTTAGGATGCAATTTTACAAACTGGATCAGAATTGCACAAAGAGGGAAGAACTCTCCTTCAGGCTTTTTTGTGCAGATTACACACAGATCTAACACACTCAAAATTCTATTTATAAACCCTCCATCTAAACTGAGGACTTGAATATAGCAGCAGAGCAATCACTTTTACTAGGCTTTCCTTGCCAATAAGTTTGACACAAATATGCTTGCACAGAAGGTAAAGTGTCTCCTTCCAAGCTTTATAGAGAATAGTAACATCTTTAAACTAATCCCTGCTTACAGGGATCAAGTTATACTTGTAAGATTGATAGAACTCAAATCAGTAATGAATGAATACCTGTGCTTAGTTGTCACCAAAACAGTACATGGCAAGCTGGCTTTTGAGAAGAAGAAACCACTATGGTAACCACGCAGCATCTCCAAGTACTTGAGGTGACAAGGCTTATCTGTATTTTGTTGTTATTACCTTTCACAACTTCTGGAAGAAAAATTTTTGAAAATCTAGGTGTACTCCTGCATAGGCAATACAAAGATAGTTAGGAGAGACTGCTTTTTTACTAAAAGGTTCTGCAGAGGCAGCTTCTTACACAGCATCTAGCCTAGCTCTACAGCTCAGAACTAAAGCTTGTTAGTAAGCAGCCCTTATTTGGGCTTATTGAAGAGGGGCAGCATTCTATTCTGTTCTCACGAAAAACGTCTGTTGCAGTGTATTGGGTTTGTGTGGCAAGGTTTTGGTAGTAGGGGGGCTGCAGGGGTGGCTTCTGGGAGAAGCTGCTAGAAGCTTCCCCCATGTCTGACAGAGGCAACTTCAGCTGGCTCCAAGACAGACCCACTGCTGGCCAAGGCCAAGCTCCTCCACGACGGTGGTAGCGCCTCTATGATACCATATTTAAGAAGAGAACACCTCTCCCCGACATGCAACAGCAACTGCAGCCAGAGAGAGGAGTGAGAATACGTGAGAGAAACAACTCTGCAGACACCAAGGTCAGTGAAGAAGGCGAGGGAAGAGGTGCTCCAGGTGCTGGAACAGAGTGTCCCCTGTAGCCCATGGTGAAGACCATGGTGAGGCAGGCTGTCCCCCTGCAGCCCATGGAGGTCACAGTGGAGCAGATGACCACCCCATGCCAGAGTAGGTGGATGCCCGAAGGAGGCTGTGACCCCATGGAGAGCCCACACTGGAGCAGGCTTCTGGCAGGATCTGCAGCCCTGTGGGGGACTCATGCTGGAGCAGTTTGTTCCTGAAAACACTTTGTGGAAGGAACCCATGCTGGGGCAGTTCATGAAGAACTGCAGCCCATGGGAAGGACCCAGGTTGAAGAAGTTCATGGAGGACTGTCTCCTCCGGGAGAGACCCCACGCTGGAGCAGGGGAAGAGTGTGAGGAGTCCTCTCCCTGAGAAGGAAGGAGCAGCAGAGACAATGTGTGATGAACTGATCCCAAGCCCCATTCCCCATCCCCCTGTGCTGCTCAGGGGGAGGAGGTAGAGAAAATCAGGAGTGAAGTTGAACTTGGGAAGAAGGGAGGGGTGGGGAGAAGGTGTTTTAAGATTTGGGTTTATTTCTCATTATCCTACTCTGATTTGATTGGTGACAAATTAAATTAATTTCCCCAAGTTGAGTCTGTTTTGCCCACGATGATAACTGGTGAATAATCTCCTTGTCCTTATCTCAACCCATGAGCCTTTTGTTATATTTTTCTCTCCCCTGTCCAGATGAGGAGGGGGAGTGATAGAGTGGGCTTTGCTGGGCACCTGACACCCAGCCAGGGTCAACCCACCACATGTGGCCATTAAAAAAAAAAAAAAAGATTTAACCAAAATAATTTTGAAAGAATTAGGAAGTGAAACTTGGTGGAAGGCTTCCATTTCAGAAACAAAACTTCAGCTTTATTTCCATACAGAATAGAAAAATCCTAATGTCTGCAGGAAAGAAAATTCCAAAGTGTTGTTCTTAAAACCTCAAAGGCATTATCTACTCAATATAGTATACATATACATTTTAAAATAAAGGAATCAACAACCCCTCTAATATGTCAACATCACCAAAACAAAGTGAGAAAGAGAAAATAATTAAAACACTTCCCACCTGAAGACTTCATAAAAATGAACATATTAATTCTGGTTTTGATTAAATCACAATTTCCAGCAATAATTTTTCAGCTAAAATGACTGAGCAGAGCTGAGCAAAAGCCTCTTACACAGGCAGGAACAACAAACATTCAAAAATTGAGAACTGGACGAAAGATTTACCAGTAGACTGCCTGAATCCTGATTACCATTTTAATCCTTGCTTTTATCACCTTTGAAGATAAAATTAGATTTTTATGACTCTGCCTATGAAGTTTGGTGGGTGTAGAGGTGAGGAAAGAAAATGAGGTATCAGTTTTGTCAACCTGGGGGATACAGTGATTAGTGAAAGTCAGTAATAATAGCAGGGGAAAAAATGGGAAAGGAGAGAATTTTGGAGAAGTGGTTGCTATCAATGTGACTTCTCCTTGGGACAGAGAATTAGATCCACCACTGTAGGTCTGCACCCCTACTCTTAGATACTGTCCTCTTGGTTCACTGAGCTTGGTGAATTTTAGTTTACTATCAGAGGTTACAAGTTCCTCACAACATGAAGCAGATGCCTCAGAAACGGAAGGAAATACTATGAGTTTGCCTGCAGCAGTTCCTCCTGCTGGAACTTTACAAAGGAAACAGCAGAGAAATATTTTTTTGTTTCTATTGAGGCTTTTACTTGCAGGAAGCATAGATTTATGCCAGTCAGATTTTTTATATAAATCTCCCTCCATTTGATACCTACAACACAGGCACCTGTGTTAGCCTGTCAGAGAACTGCCATTTAACAGACACTCATTACCTTTCCTATCACTTCATCAGGTTTTGATGGGCCTGATTTAACTTTGAAATTAGCCCTGTGTTAAGCAGACTAAGCCTTCTGGCTTAGTCTAGAGACCTACAGTCCCTCCTCATCTAAATGATTCTCCAGTTCAATGAAGAAAAGTTCTCCATGGAGTCTTAGGGACAAAATACTCCATTATTCTCTTCATAGGACGTTTGGAGGAGATGGTGATCAAGCTACCCTTATAAAAATAGCAAAATCTGAATATCTGAGGTTAACGTTTATCTGTATTTCATGGAACTTCATAGTTAAAAAGATTGCCAAATAAATTTTTCTTTTATATAAAATATAACTACATGGTCTCTGTCATAAATCTGAATTCCTCATGTCCTATAACAAAGCAGTTAATATTGCACATGCATTCATTAAAAGAAAAGGTTTTCAAAAGATTTGTTAATATTTGTAAAAAGAAATGATTCTTAGAAATGAATCTTAAGACAGCTATGAAAATGACCACAGACACAAATGCAAAGAAGTCTGAACTTACAGTTCTATTGCCTTGTTCCACATGATAACATATCCAGAAAGAATGAAGGACTCAATATTTACAATGTGTGTATTTCCCCTCTCTGTTCCAACATAAAGCCATTTACTCTGGAAAGGTAAATGGCAGTAAGTAATCCTGGAAAGGAAAAACAAAAACAAAAAGGTGACTGAATATTGTATCAACAATATTTTTTTACACTTTTGCAGATGAAATAATTGTTCTTTCCATGTTATAAGTTGAGAAAAGCCTGCCCAGCAGGCGCAGCATTCTGAAGAATGCGCAGGTTTGGGGAGGCATTTCCAGAAAAATCATAATGGAGAACATGAAACAGAACAGGGCCATCCTACCTGCCTAGATTAAGGGCAGGAAAAGAAGAGCCGTATCACTCGAGCACTGAACTAAGTCATGTTATCTCCATGACCATGTAAGTTGCACTATGAGAGTACCCCAGACTCTCAAGTTAGACGTTCTTATTTCCTTTCTTAGAATAAACATTTTTTTTCAGTTCAACAAACAGAAATTAATGTACATCAGCAGAATTAATGTTTTGTATAAAGGAAGTGTAACACCACCATTCACACAAGAAAACATTCGCTTTTTCGGCTACCTGGGAGCGTAGGGCACTAGATAAGAGCATTGCAAAGTGCAGTGGTTATATCATAGACACACTGAATCCTACACTCATATAATTCTTACAGGGTGATGAACCCTGTGTTAATGCTGTATTAGCTTAGAAAGATGTCATGGCAGTTTCTCATGATAACATAAAAGTTTTCACAGATGATGAATAAGTAGATTCAGGTTTCTTTGATATTATAGTTATTATTACATACATCCAAGCAAAATTAAATCAATAAGAAATAATAAAAAAAAAAATTTGCTGCTAAAATATTGGAATGCATGCTACCTACAGAGGCTGAAACTTATTCTGCTCTTATAGTATGGCCTCAGAAATGTTTACAAAAAGCAGGTATTTTGTTTGGTATGCCATACATTATTATATTTATCATTCATCTCCACAAAGCAGGTTATTTCTAGCATTTATATACAAACTCAATTAACAGCTATGCAGTAACTTTTTATCCTTAATGACTTCCTTCCCCACAAATGTATAAACAATATCTAAGAACCTATAGATTTCAATTTTTTATTCTCATGGTACAGCAATCTTTCTTAATTAATTATAAAGAAGTGAGAGGGGTGCTGGCTATTGTCCAGTAATTTGGCCCTCTCAGTCATGTAAAGTCCTCTGAGTAAAACATTTACCAGCCTTTGAATTAAAGGAATTGTTTAATATTTATACAAATTTCACATACTTTCTGTAAGTGTTCCCTGTAAGATACTCTCAACAAACTAAAAGATTCCAAAGAGATTCTATGCAGTATTTGGATAGTTCTGCAGATTTCCAGGTACTTAATCATGTGTCAGAACATTTAACACCGAATGAATTCAAGTGAGCAAAATTTTTTTTGGCCTTATTTATCACACTGGATTGAACACAATTGAAATATGCAGTCTTCACATTCTAATTTATGGGTAAAATTATAACTGAATCACGAATCCAGAATAAGGCTTACCCTTCACAGAAATGTGGTTTTGTTGATTCAAGTGAGACTTAAGTATGATATAGGCTTTGTGCTATCCCTCTGTACAAGGTTGAATTTTACCACTATTTGTCTAATGTTAGCAATAATTCCGCTGCCTTTAGTGGAAAGAGAACCAAGTTTTTCAAGATAATTGCTTTGAGAATGGGAATTACAGTTTAGTATGCATAACTGAAAATGCCTCTAGCAGCAACTTAGTACTTACATTGTGGGTGCAGTCAGATCGACAAATATCTGACAAAAAAAACTGCAGAAGGTGTACGCCACCTACATATTGCTTTCTGGAGATAAAGCTGTTAGCTTTATTGTTCTGTTCATAACAGATGCAAAGAACAATTTGCCCTTTTCGCTTCTTAGTTTTACAAATGTGAAGCTGGTTTTCACATCTTTCCTGATCCTTCTCCTTAAAGTAAACAACTCCATCTCTTTTGCTTTCTCTTCAGATGCAGCATTTGCCACACTTCTGGTTAAAATAATATTTAGACCATTTAAAAGAAAAAAATCCTGCCTATCTGTAAGAGCTTTACTTTTCTTTCTTGCATCCCAAAGCATATGCATGCTCTGTTAGGTCCCAGCACGTGCAAAAACCTTCATGATCCCTGGTTGATAAATCCTCTTAACCACTTCACACTGATGTTCATTCAGCACTTGTTTGTAGTAAACTGTTAAATCACAGGAAAATGCTTGTGACTTTGAAAGTGTTGAAAATGAATCTACCTAGTGACTGACAAATAACTCGGTGAATCGTAGTTAACTTGAATGCTGCTACTCTAAATTCTTGCAGTTGTGTCATCAGACTAAGCAGGTTCAAGTCCACCTAGATACCATATTAATTTTCAGAACTCTGATAAATCCATTCACAAGCCAGTACAATGTCCTGCAGACAATTTGATCTCCAAAGTGCAAGACTGAATCAAATACCCTGATTGTGAATAGTCTTACAATCACCTCAGACACAATATGAGGCTGCTTTGGGCTGCTTTTTTTCTGTTTTGAGATTTGCTTCTAGCTTATGACCTGTAGCATGTACTGCTACACCAACCATCAGACCAAATGGGTGTCTGATTTCACAGCTACCACATATTCTCCATTTGCCCTCCTTGTCTTTAAAATTTCATTAACATAATGTTTCAAGAGCAAGGTCCTACAGTAAGAGAAAAATCAGACTAAAGTACTAACCACTGGCCATCATTTACTAGACTTATTTTCCTGATGGCCAACCTCAAATCCCACACATCACTAGCTAAGTCTGGATATACAGTATCAGAAGAGAATAAGGTGTTGCTACTGAATGAAGACAATGACTACAAGTTTTACTGTTTTCTTAAGCTCAGCTATTTCCTCTTAAATAATTTCATTTTGTTTCGATAAGATTTATGGGACAGATAGATAAGTAAATATTCTGCATGTTCTTTCTTCCACAATGAAAACTACCCTATGAGTCTTGATTGTTTACCTAAACTGTTATTACACATTATCAAATACCACCTTTTACAATATGTGAGCTTATAAGAAAATGCTATTCCCTTAGAGACAATACAGAAATGTAACAAACTTATGGGAGCATAGGGATTACTAGGCATTTTAATACAATACATTGCTAGGCTTCATCAAACAGAGCCATATGATTTTTCTATTCTCAGAAAAGTAGGCACTGCTCTGAAATAGTTTTCTTTTACATTATGTAAATTAAATGCAAACTGCTTTATCTTTTATTGACTTTTCACTTTTACAGAAAATATTAACTTGACTTTGAGGCTTGAAAGCTTTGAAGCAAGATTCAGATTTTTAATGAACAACTTCCATTTCAGTAAGTACTGAAATTACATAACGATTTCTTCAAGAGAAAACAATGAAGTCTCATACTGTAGTTTTTACTGTGGATGAAAGGTATCCGTCTATTAGTCATGTATCCCACAAGCAAATTAAGATGTCCTTTGATGCCTTTATAAAAACCAGTCAATTAGGCAGAAAGAAAGAAAGAAAGGCTATTTTTCTTCCTCAGAAGGTAGAGGTTGTAGCGATTTATGCCAGTATGAAGTGCTTCTGCCAAAATTTAATCAGATTGTCAACCTGATTGAGATAACATGGAACACAATTAAATGGAGATCTGAGAATTTGTTCAACGTTGATCACTTAACAGAAGGTCAGCCAGAAATGTGGATATTATACATTCTTAGTAGCAAACCACAAAATAAATCTCATTGATCATTATAAGAAATAGTAAAAAACATGGACTAGTACCAGAAAAGGTGTCCCTATGCTGCCAAATAGTCTGGAACATTGTACAAACAACAAAATAGTCTGAATACATTGTTTTCCAATGTATTCAAAGCACAAAACAGGATATAAAATGTATTTTTAAAAAAATCAATAGGTGTCAAATAAAACACCTAAAACAGAATTTATTAAGCAAAAACTCTTTAGCAAAAGTCCTGAAAACATTTCTAAAATTATTTATAATTATTTATATATTATGTATAATATATAATATTTAAAAAATAAGAGAGATAACATAATAACTGAAAGAGGCATTATCAAAAAAGAGAATCTCACTTTAGAAAGAAATATATTCTGACTAGCAAATCTCAAAAAGGTATATTTTTTCAGAAAAACCACAGCACTGTACAATCTAACAACCCTGACCAAAAAAATTCATTGCATACTAGCAGAATACTACAATGTTAAAATAATTTAGACTGCTACATTCTCTGAAATATTGGTAAGAATTTTCAGATAGCTTAAAATCATCTTTATTCTACTTATCACATTGATCTAAGAAAAATAATAGATGATTTTGAGAACACTTTCTTATGCCTCTGCTTTCTTATTTTTGTTTTTCTGATTTTAGTACAAAAAATTTTCCTGGAATGCCATTCTTGGTGGAGAGTGGGGAGAGCTGCAGAAGGGGGGGAGAATAAACTGATTTTTGTCAAAATGATGAACACTTTTTCCAAATTAATTATTTAATTGCTCCTTCCTTGACATCAAAACTGCATCTGAATTTATACTATGCCTTTTCCCCTTACACAGAAAATCTTAAATATGGATAAGCATAGAACATACATGGTCCTTATGCCCAACACTGACTGGCAGAAGGATTCAGCTCCTGTAAGTTCCTACAAAAAACAAACATCAACTTGAACTCCCTCTCAGAATCCTACCAAAATAAGCTACACTGTCCGGACTCTCAGAAAAGATGGAAATCTCACAAATTTACAGACAAGGAATATGGAACATGAAGGAGCATTAACTTGGGAACATGAGTAGCTGACAGGAAGCAAGCTCTGTAGATGTAAGGCACGTCAGCCGTGGTCCTGGCCCAACCTGCTCTCAGGTCTCAGTGACTATTAAGTTACAGCCAATGTCTTACACCCAATTTACAGTGCATTGCCCCAGCATGGATGAGTTCAGCTGCTGAGAAAGTTGATCAGAAAATGCAAGAAAACAAGATAAAAAACTTCTTATGTAACTAGTCAGGAGTAAAAAGAATGCCTCATGAACAGGTGGATTTATCCAATCAAGTATTGT